AAGAGAATAAAGATAAAGACAGCATTTTATTGGTGATGACGTCTGATACAAAAAGTAACAAAACTAAAATATAGTATTGTCATGTGTTTTATATTCTGATGAGTTTTAGATAAAAAGTATCAGATTTATTCTGTCATATCCTTACTCCCAGAAGTGTGCAAGTGAAAGAATTGATGCCCATGGGTGGTAATAACAAATATTGATTTGATTTAGATTTGCATTTTGTAAATTGTTAAAAATAAATCAATAAAAATATATATTTCTTTATTCTCACTTTACAGCTTTTATTGTAAATTCACAACTAATATATATTTACTTCCAGATGATCATCGCTTTATTACCCGTCCTGTTCCTGGTGGGAGCCGCCGGAGGTGAGAAATGCCGGAGATACCTGTAGAAGCATTCCTGGGGTGTACATGGATTACTATATCTATGACATATACCACAGCGCTGTACAGAGAACACTGAGCCAGTCACATCAGTCTCCGTACAGAGGAGCTTACACTCTAATGTCCCCTCCCCCACAGTCACATCAGTCTCTGTACAGAGGAGCTTACACTCTAATGTCCCCTCCCCCACAGTCACATCAGTCTCTGTACAGAGGAGCTTACACTCTAATGTCCCCTCCCCCACAGTCACATCAGTCTCTGTACAGAGGAGCTTACACTCTAATGTCCCCTCCCCCACAGTCACATCAGTCTCTGTACAGAGGAGCTTACACTCTAATGTCCCCTCCCCCACAGTCACATCAGTCTCTGTACAGAGGAGCTTACACTCTAATGTCCCCTCCCCCACAGTCACATCAGTCTCTGTACAGAGGAGCTTACACTCTAATGTCCCCTCCCCCACAGTCACATCAGTCTCTGTACAGAGGAGCTTACACTCTAATGTCCCCTCCCCCACAGTCACATCAGTCTCTGTACAGAGGAGCTTACACTCTAATGTCCCCTCCCCCACAGTCACATCAGTCTCTGTACAGAGGAGCTTACACTCTAATGTCCCCTCCCCCACAGTCACATCAGTCTCTGTACAGAGGAGCTTACACTCTAATGTCCCCTCCCCCACAGTCACATCAGTCTCTGTACAGAGGAGCTTACACTCTAATGTCCCCTCCCCCACAGTCACATCAGTCTCTGTACAGAGGAGCTTACACTCTAATGTCCCCTCCCCCACAGTCACATCAGTCTCTGTACAGAGGAGCTTACACTCTAATGTCCCCTCCCCCACAGTCACATCAGTCTCTGTACAGAGGAGCTTACACTCTAATGTCCCCTCCCCCACAGTCACATCAGTCTCTGTACAGAGGAGCTTACACTCTAATGTCCCCTCCCCCACAGTCACATCAGTCTCTGTACAGAGGAGCTTACACTCTAATGTCCCCTCCCCCACAGTCACATCAGTCTCTGTACAGAGGAGCTTACACTCTAATGTCCCCTCCCCCACAGTCACATCAGTCTCTGTACAGAGGAGCTTACACTCTAATGTCCCCTCCCCCACAGTCACATCAGTCTCTGTACAGAGGAGCTTACACTCTAATGTCCCCTCCCCCACAGTCACATCAGTCTCTGTACAGAGGAGCTTACACTCTAATGTCCCCTCCCCCACAGTCACATCAGTCTCTGTACAGAGGAGCTTACACTCTAATGTCCCCTCCCCCACAGTCACATCAGTCTCTGTACAGAGGAGCTTACACTCTAATGTCCCCTCCCCCACAGTCACATCAGTCTCTGTACAGAGGAGCTTACACTCTAATGTCCCCTCCCCCACAGTCACATCAGTCTCTGTACAGAGGAGCTTACACTCTAATGTCCCCTCCCCCACAGTCACATCAGTCTCTGTACAGAGGAGCTTACACTCTAATGTCCCCTCCCCCACAGTCACATCAGTCTCTGTACAGAGGAGCTTACACTCTAATGTCCCCTCCCCCACAGTCACATCAGTCTCTGTACAGAGGAGCTGACACTCTAATGTCCCCTCCCCCCCCAGTCCCATCAGTCTCTATACAGAGGAGCTTACACTCTAATGTCCCCCCCAGTCACACACTATTATTATACATGTATAAAGCTCTGATATAAGGGGTGCCTGGGCACAGGAAATCTTTTTTAGGGCACTGCTTAGACACGTCACCCAATCCATGTACTGTGTTCTGTCGGGACAATGACACACGCATGTGATTGGTTACAATGTTCTGGACGGGCGATACGTTGCATTTTGTTGGCTCTTTGTTGGCGACGTTCCTCGTGTCTTTGCAGGCGCCGAGGTCTGTTACTCCCGGATCGGATGTTTTACAAACAATGTCCCCTGGGCCGGCACCGTGGAGAGACCCATTTCCCAGTTGCCCTGGTCTCCGGAGAAGATTAACCCCCGATTCCTGCTTTATACCCGGGCCAACACCAACAACTTTCAGGTGAGGACAGTCAGGCCTCCTCCGGGATTGGTCGATGGCGCGGTTGGTGCTCTCTCCCCTCCAGATAGGGATGAGATTGAGGTGGATCCCCCTGGGAGCTGAATCATGAACTCCTGGGCCATAAATAATGAAGGGCCCATAATGTACTGCTTAGCCTTGACCCCCAAGTCAGCTGAGTCCCAGGAGCCAATAGCTGAAAGGAATGGATCACCCAGCCCCCCATTATAAACGAGGGGGCTCATCGCGGCCATATTGCCAGTGTGTGGCGGCTCTGTTAGGGACAGCTGGATTGCAGTTCTCCCAGGAGACCCACCAATCCACAACCCTGCTTGTTACTGTTGCCCAACCCCCTTTGCATGGGTATTTTTTCATTTTGTGGGGGAAGAAGTTATTCTTTTTTTTTAATTTTGTGTTGTTAGGGCCATATTGTTTTTTTACGTTTAGGGGTCTATTTATAACATGTTCCAGATAAACAAGATTTGCACCACATTATGGCCACTAGAGGGAGCTGAGATGCACAGAACCTTCCAATGCTCCTCGGCTCCATCTAGTGGCCAAATTGTGGTGCAAATCTTGTTCGCAGAGATGTTCGCTCTGCAAGCGTTCTTTAAATAGACTAGGACGCTAGTTTGTGTCCTCCCGTTACCCTAAGGAGAACTATGGGGAAAAACACTGACCTCATAGTTCTCCTTTAAGGGCAAACACCAAACATCTCGTTCCATCCACAGGGTAGACCTCCCACCCCCACCCCCCTGTTGCACAAGACAGTTTCTAGCAGCAACATAAAGGACAGTCTTTAGTTTCGCTCTGTAGCCTTCCACAGCTCCAAGAAACTCACGCTGCTCTCCCAGCAATGTGTCCAACAGGTCCTAGGGTCACCGACCTTCCTGACCTCTCCCAGCCTCCCTTGACTGCTCCTCGTGCGTCCAGCACGCACTCGGGTCTGCTGTGCTCTGTGCCTCCTGCACCCACACAACTCTCATCACTCTGAGCACTGGGCTGGCTTCTAATAAGGCAGCTCTCAGCCACCTGATCAGCCCAAGCTGGTCATTGGCAACGCCTGGTCCCAGGACTGGAGATCTTATCCCACCCAGAGCTCTAAGAGATCTCCAGATCCCGGCTACAACTAGGAAAACCTGGAAGGACCTGAAAATCAGGGCTCTTCCTAATAACATGGTTCACATTCTGGACCCTCTCAGCCCCTTTGGCTGAGAGTCCTGGGTGCCAATGTTGCCATACTACGCCGCGGCATTGCCATGCACTGCCACAACACCTTAGGGCTGACAGGTCCTTGGAGCTGTCCTTTGTACGCAGCACACCGCCACAACCCCCCCCCCCCACCCAGCGCCGCGAGCTTA